CATAACATATAGGGATTTGGAATTTGACCATGTAGTCTGTGAAGTAGCCGTTGTTTTAACTTTTTGTTAGCTTATGGAAAACAAGAACATCAGTTGTTCCCAAGTTCTTCTTATCCATAAACAACGTCGTTTTATAAGCATATTTATTCATTTTTCCAATACAAATCCTAAATACTAAACCAAACCCGAATTAATTAATCTTTAAACGCATACGAACAAAGATCAGCTGAGGATCCTATTTCTGTTTACATGTTCTCAGTTTTTTTTGCTTTACCTTTTTATTTGGACCTTCATATACACATTGTACCATAGAAAGAGAAAAAAGAGAAACAAGATAAAAATTATCACTGGCAAAGAAACTAGAGCAGAAGAATGAGGAGTTACCTGTGTCTATCATCCCAATTATAACATCACTTGATGGTCGCAGATACTTATTCTTCGATGCCCTGACAGATTCCGACTCCAAGAAATCCCAAGAACGTGTTGTATGTAGTTGGAGTATTGAGTCGGAGAAGATGGAAACAATATCATCATTGCCTGCATGTTGCAGAATGGTTTACACTTTTTTTTTTCAGATTTTCAATATGTACATTTACTGGAGTTAAACTTAAGACATTACACTTACAAATGGGAGATACGTACTAAACTATAGCAAATGTTGCAATGTTAAAACATCTCCATTCCATAATAATATAGTTGATTGACTAAATGGGTTGTCTATATATTTATTGTAGTTAATTTACTAAATGACCTAGGTTTAATTTATTTTTTATTTTGATATGTCATATAACCTTAAACCAGTTCGATAATAAGCAAGGAGTTTTGTGAATCAACCACAAAGATATTTTATTGAGAATTCCTACTCATTCTTCAATAGCCAAATATTATTCCTCAAATAACTTTTTAGATAGCTAGTGAAATGTTTTTAAAGCTGATTCGACAATAAGTTTATTCGAATTATAAAAGAAATAGAAGCTTTTAGTAACACATAAATGATGACGATGTCGAGATTTTAAGGTGTCATCTCAATATTTTGCTCACCCGCACAATTTTTCATATGAAACGGTTGAAATTTAACTAAAATTTTCAATTAGTTAAATCCAAATAAAAGAAATATGTGAAGAAAATTTTTCACTCATCTCGTTTCCTCAACCTCCGAGGCATAGGCCCAAAAGAAAGAAAAACTAGTCTAGGTTGTTATTGGGCAGCAATACCTATGAACACCAGTAGCTACTACTGAGGGAGCTCCAACATAATTAAGCCCAAATCAAACAACATATATCCCAACAACCCCATCTTCAAATATTTCGGAAAAAAAAAAAATATATATATATATATATAATTTTTTGGAAAAATTTGAAATAGATCCAATTTTATAGACTACCTTTTGAAATAGGTCCAATTTTTAGTGACTTTTGACTTCTGAAATAGGTCCAATTTTTAGTTACTTTGGACCCATTTCAAAAAACCCCTATATTTTTTAACAAACGATATTACCAAGGAGAGGTGGATAAGCTTTACAATGGGATAGAATTTCATTAACAAGTCCAGCTCTTTTGTTCACCTATTGATTTATGGATATATAGTTATTGATTTTTAAATTTGATATCAAAGGTCTTGATTAAAACATTAGAAGAACATTTATTTGTTCTTCAACTTAATATCAAATCTAAAAATGAGTAATCATATCAATAAGTGACCAAAAAAACATTTTTTTATCATCGATTGTACGTATCTCCTATTAAATTGCTAGTGAAATATATATATATATACACACACACACACATATACATACATATATATATATATATATATATAATATACATGACTGTATACAACACATAATAATAAAGAATTGAATAATAATAATAATAATAATAATTTTTTTTTTAATATGCACAACTCATCCAATAATAATAATAATAATAATAAAGAATTGAATAATAATAATAATAATAATTATACATGACTGTATAAAAAATGTATATTATATATATAATATACATGACTGTATACAACTCATCCAACATGTGTTATGGAGATCTTGGATCCGTCTATTGTATTTGTTCTATATAAAATTCAGTGAGATAAATCAAAGCTTTTTATAATTTTTTTTTAATAAAAAACTAGCTGTATTTCTGCAACTGCTTCTTCTTTTCTATTATTCCTTTTTATTTTCTTTGTTATGATGCATGACTGGTAATTGGTAAGGAAAACTAATGAAAAGAGTTTGAAAATTTTGAGTTTTAACGATAAAGACAAAATAAAGGATAAAGTGAATAATACCATAATTGACTTTTTTATATAAAAATATAGTTTTTCGTTAAAGTGAACAATACCGAGCTTTTCGTTAAAACTCCCTTTTAATTAATTAGTACGGGCCCATGATATAATCATTCTTTATAGTTGATACCAGAACCAGTGACGAGTTGCTCTATATACTGTGGCAGGGAGGGACGAGGGAGGGAGGGTGGCTGCATCTACATGCCTGAAATTACCTGGTTAACCATGCATTCTCTCTCTCTCTCTCTCTCTCTCTCTCTCTCTCTCTCTTCCTTGATGGATTCATTAGTAAACTAATAATATAAATAAACAACCAAAGAGGGATCTGGGATCCTAATTTGAAGGTGTACAAAGTAAATACACACACACACACACACACACATATATATATATATATATATATTATATTATCTAATGAAATAGTAGAGAATTACAAGGGGAACTAAATACCTGATAAAGTGGAAGCTTCAGTTTCTGTAAGCATGGCAGAGAATCCTCTAAAAGCATGATTATACTTGTGTATTACAGAAATTCTTTCAATCTCATGGCTGGCAGAAACAGAAACATGATATAATATATTAATTAATGACTAATTGTGCAGAAAAATTAGATTAATTGATGAAGAATTAATCACAAAATTCATCAAGTTTATGATGGTGATTATGATGCTCATCATGATTATGGTGATCATAACCTTGGAATAATGGATGACAACATTTGCAAGTAAGCTGATTCATCAGCTCCATTATCTCTTCCATTTCCATTTGAGAATGAACTTCCCATATAGACCACATGATGCTGCCAAATTACCAATGACATATGAAAGAATTTAATTTAGAATATTCAAACATAACACCGTCCGTATCCATTTTCTCAGCAACCAAACAGAGAACAAGATTAACCAGAAGACAGTTTGGACACGAACCTATAATTCAAAGTTACCTTGGGATTCTGAGTTGAAGTAGTAGTAGTAGTGGCTCCACAGAGAGAGAGGAGGAAGCAAGGTAGAGAGAGAAAAGGTAGGAGTAGAATTAAGGCATTAGCCATGGAAGCAGCTGAGTCTGTGACTGAGAGTGCTTCTTCTTCTGATCAGTTAAGTGAATTGGTTTAGCAAAATTTACAGACCAATATTGTAATTTTGTATTGTTTTGAAAGTTTTGCTTATATATGAAGTTATACATTTTGTAGGCTCAGTGTGAAGGGAAAGCTTTTTAATTGACTCATCAAGAAGCTTGAGCCATGAGCAAAGCATCTTTGATGCTTTTGTGGTTCTCAATACATATGTATCATAAGCATTCATAATTTTCAGTGAAATGCAAACATCCATAATTTACTTCTCAATTATTAGGTTATTAAAGTAACATTAAATCCGCCTGATGTATGTCGATGTTCTTGTCCAAGACATATAAACATATGTGTGTATTTGTTTGGGTAAGTTATCATCATGTTAAAGTTGGACCATCCAAATTCAAACCTAGTGTATTTTTAACTTACTTATCTCTGTCTAGTAAGTTTAAACTTGAGATCTAATTTCATTAAAATTGGGTCACCGACCAACTTGTTATACTTTTCACGGTGTCAATTGCAGATTTCTTCAACTGACACCTACTTTCATCAAAATTTTTGTTGGTTTTATATCTCATCCTTAACACGCCTGCTTTTCTTGAATGTATATAAGAACTAGAGCTTGTATTTTAGGTTTTAGCTCTCAAGTTCAAATATCATGAACTAAAATATAAAACTTATGCCAATTGACCGAGAAAGACAGTGTCAAACCTGTCGATTGGCACATTTCTAACTTAGATTTTTTGGCATACAATAAAAAAATAAAATACAAAAGATAAAGTATCAACCTACTTTCTCCACTCTTCCTTGATAGAATGTGAATTCCTCACGATGCAATCATTTAGTCAACAGGAACATGGGTACTGTATTTAAGAAAATTGATTATTCTAATGATTCTATAAAATTCGAGTGCTGAACTAACCAATCTGAAAAGAAAAACATAACAAATTTATAAAAGCGATATAATTAGTCTATCAGAGCGTTTAATCAATATGACAATAAAAAAATTATTCTTAGAACATTTAGCCAATTACCCTTATATTTTGTATTACTTCTTCTTATAAAGGAGAAGCCATACAAAAATATCATTTCAACTGCAGATTCCAACTCTTTTTGTTTTTCTATTTGGGTAATTTTTTTTTCCAGTTTTTTTTTTTTTCTAGTAAACTTATATTGCAAGTAAACAATGACTCTTTTCATGTGCACCATTTTCTGTTCTTTTTCTTGTTTCCTTTATTCTCTCTCTTTTTCCCATTAATTCCAATTTTCCACCTTTAAGTATCTCAATTAAAATATTTGTATATATCCCACCTTTTTTCTTTCTTTCTTTCTTTCTTTCTTGGTATTCTATTTTTTGTGTTTGTTATTTGACGAACGAGTTTACCCACCAAGAAAAAGTGCAGAAGAGCCTTGCAAGTGCAAGCACCATTACCGGCTTTAACTGCATCAACTTTGTAAACCAATCTTATGACTTTAGGAAGCATTAATCAACATTATACAAATGAAATCAAAGTTTCTTAGCGGAATGCAATTACCTACCATTTGAGGGAGGACCGATCACGATGACCATAATAAGGTTTGCACACATAAACTATTACGTGTTAGGGGTTGACTTAACCAAAGTTCGAATCCTCCCTTGCTATTAAACAGAATACACAATACATGGAGATTCTCTTATTTGTTGAATTTATAGAGAGTTACAACAATCTTCCGAAAATCTTCCGAAACCATAGCGGGTAAGTAAAGGGAGGTGAAGTCTAAACATGAATACAATGTAGTGCCAAAGTGGGATTTTAGGAGGACAAAGCAACAATAATGCACAGATAAAGGGAAGGTCGGAATGAGAAGTATCGGAAAAACAGTGCTCTGGCTCATTATATAGTAGATGACTCTTTTATATACAATACAACTGAGTGGTACGTCTATGGAGGCATCAATCAGTGAAGTAGTACGGAACAATAGCCACCGCAGCAATCAATCTCCCTCAGATTGACTGTGCTAACGGAACTTTATTGCTTACCTAACCAAAGCTCATTAGGATATTGAAGCAAAGCGAACTTATTTTACTAGATCTCTGCGGTTCTTTCTTCAGGGGCAGAACTGACGTCAGATGTTTGCTTCTCCGCAACTTGACTTTTAAGGAACTCCATCACTGAAAGCCGCTGCATTGGAAACAAAATGTTAAATCAATTCTTCAGGATCCAAACTATTTACTCAATGAAGTCAAGCAGGGGAAAATCTTACCCGTTGCTCAAGGGCACTCTCTTCGGATTTTAATGTCAAAGATTCCAACAATTTTATGCCTTCTTCAAATTCATCAACTGCCACATCCTCGTCCCCTAGATTCCTGTCAACATCTGCAACTTTTGCAAATGAAACAGCTAGATCCAGAATCTGTAATTGCAAGAATAAATATGCAAAGCCAAAGTCAGGAACCACAGTGCATTTGGTATTAAATAAAAACATTTAACCATTCTTAATAGTAAATGTATTTCAGTAATTGACGAGGGGCACAATTTATAACTACACAAGGTTCCATCGTTGGTATCTTTGTTTTTACCTTCATTAGAAACAAGAGGGTTAAGAAAGTTAGAGAAGAAAGAGTTAGAGGTTAACATTTGGGAAGGTCTAACAACGACATTTGAAATAAAAGTCAGTTTGTTGAAGTTCTTCCATTGGCCTTTTGTTAAACTTAAGAGTATTCAACTCAAAACCAATTGCCAATGGGCAAAAGGATAGAGGTAATACAAAGCTTAGAATGTCCGGTGTATGACTTGCTATTCTCAACATCTTCTTTTGTATTGTGGCCAAATTCAGCCAAACATGTATTCATATTGGATGACATAAGAATATAGGAGGTCAAATTTGCCAAAAATCAATGAAATTTAAGTTAAAGTTACAGCATTCAACTCAGTCAGAACCAACTGCAATAGTTTAATGGGTAAAAAGGCTTTGAACTTAATATATTGTGATGCAGACTTAGAAAATCAGATATCGGACTCTAATCTTAACACCTTTCTTTTTCCATAAAACTAAACAAATAAACAAGAAGAAATCAAGATGATCTTATCTTTCTCTTATCCCTGCTCTCCCTTAGACTTAAAAAATTGGTAATTTCCAACCATGATGTGAAAACACAAATTTTCTACCACTAACCAATGCACCTTTGTACTAATATCATATATACATAAACCGAGCAGGCACAAGCCGCAAAACAGAAAAAAAATCCCTACACACGTTGGTCTCACTTATTACTCTCCCAGCAGGACCACATTAACTAATGGACCATATTAATCAATACACCTTTGCAACACAGGAATATTTAGATCCTGTGTTTATGGTTTCTACCCCCACCCCATCTACATGGATGGCTGAAATTTGCATAATTTCAACATAGTAAGGAAATCCCATAATGCTCCAACCAAATTTATTTGTATAGATGCAAATATTTTGCATAAACAGGTGTTCCTACCAACAAAAGTTTCATTTTAGGTTCAGGGCCGTTATAGTATTGAAGCAAAAATATTTGCTCAAAAAGACTCTACTACATCAAATAATTCACCCTCACAAGCTAGATATAAAAGTCTTCCCAAACAATTAATGTGCTTAAATATGAATATACAAACCAACTGAATTGACCAGACCCAGAAAATCAATCCATTAAGATACTCCAGTGACCTATACTAGTATTCCAGATAATAGCAACCAAACAGATACACATCCAATGAGCTAAAGTAGTATCAATACATTCCCAAGTGCATTTAAATGACATTAATAAAAAGTGTATAGCATTTGTATTGATACTGTAAGTCACAAAAGAAACCTAATGACGACAAGCAAAAGATAGTTGCTGACCTGGGATGGAACATTTGGATCATGCTTGACAGCATCACGTCGAACATTCAACGACTGGAAGTAGTAAGATCGTGCAGATTTGAGGTCTCCGTCATAATATTTGAGATCTCCAATTTTATTAAGTGAAATAGAGAGTGTATGCATTATCTACAAAATTAAAAAAGGAAAAATAACCATATCAGGGAAAAGCACGGGTAGGACATAATGTTGATATTACGGTAAGGGTTTGGATGTAATAACCTCCCAATCATTTCTTGGCAGTTTTGAAAGAAACTCAACACTCTCTTCAAAGTAACTGACTGCAGAAACAGCGTCTCCTGCAGCCCGACTGCACAAAAAAAAAAAAAAAAAAAAGATGAATTAGAGATCCACTCGAGTAAAAGAAAAAAAAAATCAGGGATCATAGTCAAATTATGCCATGAATACAGTAACAGTCTAGAGTCTACATATGCAGAAAATACATTAAGCAGTTTTCTCAATGTTAAAGATATTCTTAAAACACAGATGGTATGAATCAAAACTCATCTCCGACTTCTTACGAACAATCTAGTTATCCTCAAATAGGCAAATCTTAATTGACAGTCTGATCATTTCTTACAGTGCATGCAGAGTTGAACATCCACAATGTCATCAGTCCATAGCTTCAATTTAGTGACAACCATGCATGGTATTCCAACAATAAATTCATTTTTCTCCCAACTGATGGGAGGATAAAAAAAAAAAAAAAAAAGCAGTTATGTGTAGTTTATGCATAGGTGCAAACTTATAGAGATTGATTACTCTCTACATGTACACACAATAATGTAGGGGTTTAATTATATGTTATATATTTTATCAGGGTATCCACAAAGTTTATTATTATGGGATTTTACACGGGCTTGCTGTAGTAAAGTTTGAGCCTTTGGCGTATCCATTAAGAATTTAGACACCGACGTCAACCCTAACACTTCATCTCTCTTTTTCTCTTGTTTTTGTCTCATTGAGTATTAGCATCCTTAACCTATTTTGGTCTGCCATCACCATACCACTAAATCATCACCAATCCATAGAAGCGAACCACCAACAAACCTTTGGATCCATTACACATTTTCGCACTGCAATCTATCAGCTGTCATTAACTTGCCAAATTCCAGCCACTAAACTTGCTCTCAAAAAGCTGACACTGTCAAACACCAACCACCATCTTTAGTATGCATACACCACCATCTTTAGTTGCATGCATACACTACTATCCAAACCAAGACCAGTTTTTAAATTTAGTTCTTCAACTTTTTTCCTACCCAACCAAAGAAGAATTCAAAAATAAAAAAATAAATGTTTCCTCTATTCTGGTATTTCGCCTCATCATCAATTGAAGGAGTGTTGTTTAGGACCAAGTTCTTTCATGATGTGTTGAGTTTTCTTTAAAATTGTATTATTAGCATAGTTCCCACCTTTACTTAACTTGTATTCTTCCTTTTTCAATAAACTATATATTCAAAAAAAAAAAAAAAAAAAAAATCCAAGTTACCCATTACAGCAACTAGAATCAAGGAAAAGAGGGTTCAGTGGTCTTTCACTATGTATTATCTAAGGATCAATACTAAAAAATCAAGTTAAGATGAAGAAAAAAAAAGCATGAGGGACAGGAAGATGAGAATTTTATAAGGTGATCTCTCAGATACGTGAATTTCTTGAGAAGACTCAGATAATCTAAATATTATCTTGCACTGAATTTTCAAAATCTCCTGTAAGAGAATGAATCGCATTGTGTCTTCATCTTTATGTGACAGGTAATCAGTAAAACGAATGACCACTTGTGTTCTATAAATCAAATTATACAACTAGACGTATAAAGTTTATATTCCATCCAATATTGATGATATGAGGTAGCTAGTATCTATATTCCATGAACAAAACTTTATACAAGTGTTGGATGGCCAAATTTGATGAAACCAATATTTGTGGTTCATTACAACATAGACAGATATATGAACACAGAAGTTTTTTGGTGGTGAGGCGAAGAGAGAAATAGGAAAAATTTTGACCTAGAGAAACAGTTTGAAAAGTAAAACTATGAAAACTCACAGTCCATAAGCACTCTAGGTTCAAATTCTAATCCTGTAAGGCTTTCTCCATCACCTTGGTATGCTTCAGAACCAATAGATTGGATAAAGGTTATGTGCTTACCAACAACATTACAGATGAACTATTCAGGTATAGGCTAACATACACCATCTTTCGCTAACATGATTGTGTTAACTATCTAAATGCATACCATTAGGTAAATAAGTCTGATTCATAAAATGGCCCTATAACAATGTTCTCTTGCCATACTGTTATCCAGCAAACATAAAACATGTCAAGCTAAAAAATGCTATCATACACATAATACATGCTTAGTTGCTTACAAACATTCATTGTGCGGATACATAAAGAGTGTGGAGAGAGAGGACAAACCAGCAGTCGCCAAGCATCCCAAGAACCGCTCCAAGCTGAGAACACAACTCTGATGTGTTACCCATCGTTTCTAACTGACCTCTGATGTCTTCTGCACAAAGACTAAGTCTAGATTTGGCACTTTCTATATTCTTGGCTCGGAATGCCTGCACATTAGACAAGATATAACAGCACCAACAAGTGAACACGGCAAAGCAAGAAAGAAAATGCAACACCAAGAAATCAAACCACAGGCGATACAAACTCACCCTCATGGCCTGTTGCACCAAGAAAGCCCCTCTCTCCAAAGACACGTCTTCGTATATAACTCTCTTGTTATTCTTATCCTCATTCTTGTTACTGTCATTTGTTGAATCCTGATTATCCTCTGCATTATGAGACCTCTTGATTCTGGCATGGCCTTCAATGAAGCGATCCACCAAACCCTGAAGATTGGAGTCGGCTTCAATCTTCTCAATGTCAGCTCCACACAAAGGACAGTCCTTGAAACTTGATATACAAGCTCTAAAACAACAACGCAATTGAAACAAAACAGGAAATTAAAATAGAATAAATTAAAACAAAATCTACACAATTAATAGGAACCAAACCCAATCCAATAAAACAAGTAATTAAATTGAAAAGCAAAAGGAACCCAAGACAAAAGTATGTTGAAATGTTCAAAGGAACCAATCCAATTCGATGAAACAAGTAATTAAATTGAAAAACAAAAGAAACCCAATACAAAAAGCATGATTCAAAATTCAAAGGAACCAACCCAATTCGATAGAAACAAGTGATTAAATTGAAAAATAAAAAAAAACCAATACAAAACACGACAAAAATTCAAAGAAACTCATCCGACTTACTGGCAGAAGGAGTGAGAACAAGGGACGCATTTGGCAGAGTCGAACATAAGAGCGTGGCAAATCATACAGCTGAGAGGGCCAAGCTTGAAGGTCTGAGAATCGTAACCCAAGGGGCATTTTGGGGGAATTGTAGCGGTGTCAGCTGAGGTCTCTTTCTTGCTTGGCTCTGATGGCCGACCGGCTTTCGCGAATGGGCACACTGGCGTCATCATCTTCTTCTTCTTCCTTCCTTCTTTCTATGGACTGTTCGAATTTTGTCGCTGCACTTGCGATCTTGCTAAAGCTTTATCCAGCTCCAGGATACGACGACGTTTGGGTTCTGTTCGGTTGCTCTTGCTCGACTCGATCGTCTCGGAATTGTGAATGCTGGAGGGTGAATCGGTTATTATCCTCTCTGCAACTCCTTTCATTTATTTATTTCCACAAACACCCTGGGCTTTTTCTCAATTTATTTTTTACTCCTTTATCTTTATTTTGTTTTTCTTAATTAATGCTATAACATAAAAAATAAAATAAAATAAAATAAAATTTGGTTGGGTACGCCGCTATAGAGCTTCTTCATGGACAACTTTAATAGCAACTTCAACCATTATGTTTAAGCAAATGATAAAAGAAGGGCAATATCGTAGTAGACAAAGAAAGATGAGCGTGACACCAATATGTTGAGCTTAAATTGCAAAAATATATATATTGAGCTATAAAGGAATCACAATCCTACATTGGATCGAAAAATTTTAGTGCAATACCAATATAAAATTCATGAGTGTGATACTTATATTTAGTAGGTTCTAAAGTATGATTGTCACTATTATTAAACTCACACTAGTGTAGCAATAGTATTATAGGTATCAAACTCAGGTTGTCTATATACATATAGTGTTGGAACCAAATTCAAGCACCACGGTCATAAGACAACTGCTTGACTGGCCACCTACAAAGAAGAACAAACAACCGTGAATTCCTAATCACCGGTGTGGTGTTGGCTGAAGGATTTCCATCGGCCCATCATCATCATTATCTTAAAGACATGACTTTCAAGGTCACACACTTGAATCCACAACGTCTCCACTACCTTACATTGGTAACGGAATAGAATTAACAAATGTAAAAGAATTCGGAATGGCAATTCTGATTTACACTTACAGACATCTTTACTATTCATCATCAACGGGAACACCCTTTCTGAAGCATATTTAGGGGAATTTGAAGGGCTCATGAAATTTTCTAAGTAGGAGTGAGGCGGATCGGAGTGCCCATGCCTCAGAAATCTGATTATGGACTTAACAACTCCGAATCGGATTAAGCCATCTAAACAGAAAAACTGTGCCACCATACCCTGTTGGGCTCCGAAATGGTAAGCTAAGATCGACCATGCTTGTTCCACAAGACATGGAAACCTGATCCAATTGGGGTTCGGATTGGTTTCCTATATTCTTAGAGATTTATACAATCTAGGTATTAGTATGCACTGCAAGTAATCACAATCCTAAAAGAAGCAATATCTTATTTACATATCCTTTGAGTTTCTCCCAGTTGAATATGGATTTTATATCCTAAAATGACCCCCTCACGATTAGTATAAATAACCCATCAAGGGTTCATTTAGGGTAATGCTTTCATGATGCATACTTTGCTCTCTTGCCTAATGCTTGAGTTATAAGATTTTTATAATAACTTGACCATCGAAGAGACTTTGCGGGTACCACACCAGTACATTAGGTTAATCATGGTTGTTTATTCTTTTGTGTAAGTGGTCGTTCTCGCATACTTTTCCATTCATGGGGTGCAAAAAATTTGGTTGCAACAACTACAAAAGAATAAGATGAAGAAAAGAAGGATGAGGTTAAGGAAAAGCTAAACAAGAAGCACCTGAGGGTACTACACCAGATTCTGTATGGGTGTTACTGGATGCCGGATTTGGAATTATAACTGAGAATCTTGGAAGGAAGGGAAAATATGTTAATGGTGTGGGTGTTTTCCTCGTATAAATACCTCCGGATGTGTTTCATGATGTGGTTCTTCAATGTCTTCAAGTTTTGGGTTAACTAAGCTGAGACATCAAATCAAGCTTCTATCAACTGATTTTCTCAAAGTGCAAAAGGAGAAAGAAGAGTTAAGAGCACGATTGGATTTGCAAACAAGGAATATAGATATGATATAACAACTGCAAGCTTTTTAGTTGCAAATCAGGGGTAGACCATCAACTACTCTATGAAAGGTACTGATGGTGATTTTTCCTATCCGAACACTTTTTTTTGTTGAACATCAGGGCCATGATATGAATGAAAGCTAAATTTTGATATTATGTTTTTTGTTGTTAGTTTCAAATACGCGGAAGGAAAAGCAACAGCAGCCCGAGCTCATCGAGCTCAAGCGCTAGTCATAATAGAAGCAATGGAGGCCCATGAGGTTTAGAGTTTAGGGTTTAGGAGCATGTGAATAGTAGCATGTGAGAAATAAAGAAAAATTAACAAAAATAAATTAGAAAAACCTTAAAAAATAATATTTGAAAATGGGTGATCAGTTTAAAGCTAGCTATTGATACAAGGCACCGTCGCTAGCACTACAACTATTGTTGCTGGGTGGAGTCGCTATCTAGATAGCGATACTTTCTGTGGATAATCGGTCACGAATTCCCAATCGTATCCATTTCTATTTTTTTTTTCTTTTTCCATTGTATTTTTTTCTTCCAATGTTACTTTGTTTAGATTCATATACCATTAGATTTAGATTTACATCCTTGTTTTCGAGTGTTTTGACATGGATTATAAGAAAATGTTAACAAAAATAAAAATAACATAAAATAAATAAAATTGATGGTTTAAAGCCTTAGGTGGAAGGAGAAGCAGCAGCAACCCAAGCCCTTCAAGCTCAGGCTCTAGCTGCAGCAGCAGCAATGGAGGCCCATTAGGTTTAGGGTTTAGGAGCGTGTGAATAGTAGTGTACGAATAGTAATAGGTGAATAGTAGCAGGCCATAAAACTAACACCTTGAGTTTGGCGCGTTTCAATGTCCGACGCACTCGAATTGTTTTTATGAAATTTTTTTTAAGAAGGAGTTACTATGTTAAAATTGACAACTTTAGTGTAAATTGGGACACAATTTGTAAAATAAAATGACATATAGATTAAAGTATTATAACATATTGAAAATAGAAATGGGACAATTTCTTAATCCTAGGACAGAAATAGGACATTTCGAATATGCACACGGCATGCACAACAATCAGACAGAAATAGGATTTTTTTTTACACCTTAAAATGACCAAATTGTCCTCCCATATAAATGGGTTATCCAGAAATTCCAGTCTTCGTTTTTCATTTTGTAGAGTGAGAAACAAATAGAGAGGAGAGAGAGAGAGAGAGAGAGAGATCTCGCCCAATTCCAATTCGAAGAACCCTAACCCACCCATCTTCTTCATCCAAGAGCTCTCTCTCTAACCACCCATCTTCTTCATCCAAGCTCTCTTTCTTTTTCTCTTTCTTTCTCTCCCTCTCTCCTCTCTCTACATTTCGAATATGCATAAGAGCTCTCTCTCTAACCCACCCATCTTCTTTGATTTTTACCTTTTCATTTGTAGGTTTTGTTAACTGGGTTTGCTTAATTTTGCTTTTGATTTATGGATTTTTGGAGTTGAAGTAATTGGTTTGGCTTTTGATTTATGGATTTTTTTTTTTATCATTTCTCTTATTTATATGTAGTTTTTCATTTCTTTTGTCTTCTTCATCCCTCAGGTTCTTCTCTCGATCCAAATTTACAAGCACTAAAATAGGGTTTGGCTTTTACTGCAATTAAATGAAAAAACATATTAAAGGTCAATTGCCTTTTGGAGAAGAGATAAATTTGAGGGAAAAAAGAGAAATCAGAGTGGAAAGAGGGAAGAGAGAATGATATGGATAAAATTGTTTCGCGTACTCATTCGTTCTCTTCATATTAAGCTCGCTTATACATTGTATGTACATGACATGCACATGTTATGCTCACAGATTTGAGTTCAACCCAAAAACCCAGAGCTCACAACTCTCTGTTTGAAATCAGAAAAATGACGCAATCAGATATGACCTTAAACTTTATATGAAGAATCGAAAATTCATTCATTTGAATTTGGTATCAAATTTGATTGGGTTCAAATATTTCAAGGATTTGAAAATTGCAATTTGAATAGGCATGAAAGAACCCAATTGAATCAAAGGAAATTATTTCATGAACTTGTTCGCTTTTTTCGTATTTGCAGGGCCTACCTCTGAATCAAGGGAAAAAGTAGTAAACTACGTCAATGCGAAGAGTATCAAAGATGTAAATACGCACCATATACACTATATGCACACCACATGCACTTAATATGTAAAGTACTTGCACATGATATGCACAGAGCGAGAGAAACTTTAACGACAACATATTGGTATAATTGATACAATTAAAACATAATTGTTACGTATATAAGGTTACAGTGATAGTTTGAAAAGTCTTATTACATATATTAACCACCACTTAACCATGCACGTGAAAAACATGATACTCGTTGTCATTATTTCATGGACACTCATGACCCTTAACGTCCTTTGAGTTTTTTTGTTTTTTATAATTTTGTCTTTCACCGAGGCCAACTAGGTTATGGACATACTCATTAAATTCCGAGGCACAACTTACATGCAGCATAACTAGTGAACATTTCCGCTTTTCATATTAAGATGTAGCCACGCACACCACATACACATTACGAAATTTTATTTTACAAATTTCTGCAATTGGACACTTAATGTGAAATCCCGCTCCTGGATTTCACTATTGAAAATTTTGTATTATGTATTAGCGAGATTTTATATCATTTTTAGGAATTTATGTGAGTTTTATTAAATTTAGATTTTAATTACACTAATTACGAAGTTTGAATTTAGGTTAGTAATCGTTAAAAATATGTAGACCTTACGAGGTCATACTAAGTACAATTGGACAAAGTTCGATCCTACAAAAGAGTAGGCGGAAACCATTCCTAAATCGAAGTTGAAACGAAGAAATTATAGGCGCTTAAAAAATAAAAATAAAAATAAAATAGAGAAAGACTAGAATTTGCCAAATGGCAGTGGGAGAGAGGGAGAAAATGAGAAAAATGAGGGGGAAAGAGAGAGTGATCAATCAGGAAGAAAGGATGGGAAATGAGATAGGATGAGAGAGGGGAGTTTTCCCTCATCGAACCCACACAACCCGACTCGTTGCGCGACTTTTTCGACATTTTTCTATCGGTTTTCCAGCGACCCA